TTTGAGACGGAGTTTCACTGTTGTTACCCAGGCTGGAGTGCAATGGCGCGATCTCGGCTCACCGCAACCTCCGCCTCCTGGGTTCAGGCAATTCTCCTGCCCTAGCCTCCTGAGTCGCTGGGATTACAGGCACGCGCCACCATGCCCAGCTAATTTTTTGTAGTTTTAGTTGAGACGGGGTTTCACCATTTTGACCAGGATGGTCTCGATCTTTTGACCTCGTGATCCACCCGCCTCGGCCTCCCACAGTGCTGGGATTACAGGCTTGAGCCACCGCGCCCGGCATCCCTATCTTCACCATTTTTAAGTGTGCAGTTCAGTGGCATTAAGCATGTTCTCACTGTTGTGCAGCCATCACCACCATCCATCTCCAGAGCTTTCTCATCTTTACAAACCAAAGCTCTGTTCCCATGAAACACTCACTTCTCAGACCGTGGCACCCACCTGCTACTTACTCTGTCTCAAATTTGACTCCCTAACATCTACCCTTCATAGTGGAATCATACAATACCCTTTTGTGTCTAGCTTATTTCACTGAGCCTAAAGTCCTTTACGTTCATCCATGTTGTAGCCTGTGTTCCTGGCAGTGTGGATTGCAAATGCAAAGGTCAGGAGGTGAGAATGAACTTGGCCATTAGAAGGGAGTGTTAGAAGATGAGCTCAGCCGCCGCATGACTGCCAGGCCTGGGGAGCACCCGGGAGGAGTTTGAATGTTATCCGGAGTGTGATGTCCCGGGCAGCCTCTTCCTTCCTCCTCCTTCCACCCCTCCATTGGAAAAGATGGCCAGGGGCAGAACTGTGTTACTTAAATGATTACAAGTTTGCTTTGCTTTTTTACACTGAGATTTGTACCACGGATCAAATATTGAATTAAGAAAACTCCAAACTGGCCAGGCATGGTGGCTCACGCCTTATAATCCCAGCACTTTGGGAGGCCGAGACGGGTGGATCACGAGGTCAAAAGATCGAGACCATCCTGGTCAACATGGTGAAACCCCGTCTCTACTGAAAATACAAAAATTAGTTGGGCATGGTGGCGCACACTTGTAGTCCCAGCTACTCGGGAGGCTGAGGCAGGAGAATTGCTTGAACCCAGGAGGCAGAGGTTGTGGTGAGCCGAGATTGCGCCATTGCACTCTAGCCTGGGTAACAAGAGCAAAACTCCCTCTCAAAAAAAAAAAAACCTCCAAACTATGGTGCAGTAAAATAAAAGCAGAGATCAAGCGGTAACAGGGGTCCCATAGTAAAGACCATCTGGGAGCGCTATAAGCGCGGAATCTTCGGTGTGGTTGCAGAGCAGGAAAAACTGCTTTGGCCCCACGCCTCTTCCCAACATAGAGTCTGCGTGAGGGTCTCCTAAAGAGGGCTTGTACAAGAACTCTGGGAGGGAATGCAATCTGTGCTCTCCAGACTCGGAGGGTCTTTGCAGATGGGAGCTTGCGAGACCAGAAGTCCTTCCAGGGTGGAGATAACCGGAACTCCACAGGCTCTGCCTCTGTTCTCAGAATGTGGAGCAGTTCTGATTGCTCTGTGTCCACCATGCTCGGGAGATAAAATCCCCTGGATGCATTGCGTGTGCTCACACCTTATGGTGCCTTATTAGCTATGTCTCTTTTGCCAGCTCACCTGGGTAGGCAATGGGTGGTAGAAACTCAGTGTCCTGGCCGGGCGCGGTGGCTCAAGCCTGTAATCCCAGCACTTTGGGAGGCCGAGGCGGGTGGATCACGAGGTCAAGAGATCGAGACCATCCTGGTCAACA